TCTGTTCAATTGAAGAAATGAGAAAACTGTCCAAAATGTCAATGTAAACTTGTGCATTGATAGAAGAATTGACCACAGTCATCTCCCCAGTGCCTTTGCCTGACAAGCAGCCCCATATCATCAAGGACTGTGGAAATTTGGTTGTTTTCTTCGTAAGTGAATTCACTTATGTTACTCTTATTTGTTCCACACCTTATGAATACTTATACAAAATTAACATAACTGGACCAAAGAGGACTTGGCAACAGGTCAAAATTAAATTGCTAACCACAACAGCTCAGTGGTTAGCACCGACGCCCCACAGCAAGAAGGTCCTGGGTTCGATCCCCGGTTCAAACCTGGGGTCTTTCTGTGTGGAGTTTGCATGTTCTCCTCGTGCTTGTGTGGGTTTTCTCCAGGTACTCCGGATTTCCCCACCCCTAAAATCATGTACAATGGGTTGCCTTCAGGCCCAGGCCGCCCTTGAAAAAAAGATGTGAGATGTCAGTGGGACTTGAAAGAACGGTGAATAAATAAATAAATAAATAAATAAATTAATTAATTAATTAATGAAAGAACATTTTACAGACTAGTAAATATCTGAATAAATACTGACTACAATGTACAAATGACTTGTACATTGTACAAGCCTTTTTTCATCCTCATTTAAAAAAAAGGCTTGTGATGGCACAGGGGGAGGCCCACCATCCACCATATTAGTGAATATGCATAATAATCACACATTTCTGAGTATGATAGGGACCACTCGGTGCGAGGCTGAATTTTAGGACACAGCAGTCTGCACAGGTAGAGGATGTCATTCCCAGAAAAGGTAACACTCATGAAGGTAATTGTTGGGTAAAGCCAATGGGTCAGACCTATCCGAARACACTCTWTCCTGTCTGAAAGCCCTTTTCAACTAAAGTGTTTCATCATCAACGTCATTCAAAAATGGGCATGCCATTGTAAAGGACGACACGTGTTTGAAGCTACTTATATAGCTTGATTTCATTGACAACACCTTTGATTCTTTATCAGTCATTTCTCAAATACTGTGATAGTCTATTAAAAGTCTTTCTGTCAAACTCAGAACAGCAGCAGTATTCAGAAACAACATCAAACAGTAACAGTGCCCACATGGAGAATTATAACATTTATAACCATCATAATGTTAAAATAATAATAGTACCTGACTGAATGCCAAAATGAATCAGTGGTTTTTATTGCAGGTTGATTAAAATATTTATTTATTTATTTATTTATTTATTTATTTATTTTTGATTTAAAACAAAAGTCTAAAACAGACAGAATCACTGAGAAACACATTGGTTTCTGATGGGCGTGACCACTAAGACACCAGGTTTAACTAATCCTGGCTGTTAGCCTGTTCTGCAGCAGGCTAGCTGCGCAGAATAAATCACCATGGCAGAGTTGTATGGTAACAAAGTACAAATACTTTGTTACTGTACTTAAGTAGAATTTTTGGGTATCTATACTTTACTTGAGTAATTATTTTTCTGCTTACTTTCTACTCCTTACATTTTTAAAAAAGGGAAGAAGTAGAAAGTCGTTACTTTAATTTCATTTTTCTTGTTTTCATTGCAGCTTGTTATTGTAAAAAATAAATTCTATCCATATAAACTGAGCCTCCTATAGAGTGAATTTAATTGTGGTTGAATGAGAAGTATAAATATATAAAACTCTGATACCGTGTTAGCTTGTACACAAACAAATTATGTCACACTCCAGCAGGACACAATCATTAAAATAAAAGGACTGTACTTAAGAAGTATTTGTATTTCATGAATTATATTATTACATTTGGCTGCAGCCCTCAGATAGATTTTCATTTTGGGTAAAGCTTTGTGCAGCCTTGATATATGTATATAAACTAAAACAGCTGGACTAGTGCATCCTAAATTTAACATAAATTAATTATTTTAATACAATACAGTCATTTCTGCATTTTTTTGGTCACCTCCTAATAAATGTCCTTACAGAAAATCTAACTGCTCATTTTAAATCAATACTTTTATTTTTAATACTTAAGTACAAAAAGTATCAGATACTTTAAGACTTTAGTAATATTCCTAAAGTAGACTTTAACTTTTACCAAAGTAATTTGATGCCTGCTTTACTCAAGTATCACTTTGTGGTACTTTACACAACACTACATCATGGTAAGTATGCACCGATGCTTTTATGAAATCAAATCAAAGCTTAATTCAGTCAGGATATCTGGAAAATCATGGCTTGATCCTCTGTCATGGTTTTGTAAAACTGCCCTCTGACCAAATACAAATAAAGAAGACAATCACAATTCACACCACATTTAACTAAAAACAATGTGCATTGACTTTCTATTGAGTGTTAACCAAAGTTTATCTGTAATATTTAGTCAAAATAGTAAATGTTAATTGAATAGAAGTGTGTTTTTTTAATGTTTTCAAATTTAGAAWATGGTGGGAGTTTCTGTAACATATATAAAGTTTATTTGGTTAAACTAAACTAAATGTGCTTCTTCAAACTGCTACCTCAGGGAACAAACACAACCTGTTTGTTACATTTTGACATGCCTGAGCGACATGTGTCCCCCTCCCCTCCCACGCCCTCAAACCAGAAACCTGGTGTCACCACATTCCTCAGGAAGTCAGGCYTGCAACATGCAGCATCACACAACAACACAGAAACAAACTTTACCACTTCCTAACACAAAATATTAACTATTTCACAGTGTGAAAGTAACAAAACTCTCTGAATAGTTTATTCTGTTTGACTTTGTATGATTTCTTTTCAGAATTGCAACAATATCTGATCTGAATGTAACTCAGGATTTTCATCTGTACAGGGGAATCAGGGTTAAAATAGAGACTATAAGGGAGAACTTTCTACTATGTATTTTAAAAAGTTAGGAAACATTGTTTAGTTTTCATGTTGCTAATGTTGTTTGTTTCAGACTGGGAATAGAATGGAAGCCATGACAAGGCAGAAACAAAAGAGACCATCTGTTCTCTGTCAAGTTCCTCAAACATCATCCAGACAACAAGGTGGAAAGTGCTTATTGTAATATTTTATTATTTTACTAATAGGTTGATTGTAAATTAATTCTGTTGTTTTAGGAGTTGCCACCAAAGCTTTGGAGCTACTGTGTAAAGGATGTTTAATACAGGTCCTTCTAAAAGAATTAGCATATTGTGATAAAGTTCATTATTTTCTGCAATGTACTGATAAACATTAAACTTTCATATATTTTAGATTCATTGCACACCAACTGAAGTAGTTCAAGACTTTTATTGTTTTAAAATAGATGATTTTGGCAAAAAAGTAAAGAAAAATCAAAAATCCCCATCTCAAAAAATTAGCATATCATGAAAAGGTTCTCTAAACCACTTATTAACCAAATCATCTGAATCAATTAATTAACTCTAAACACCTGCAAAAGATTCCTGAGGCTTTTAAAACCTCCCAGTRTGGTTCATTACTCAAAACCACAATCATGGGTKKGACTGCTGACCTGACTGCTGTCCAGAAGGCCATCATTGACACCCTCAAGCAAGAGGGTAAGATACGGAAAGACATTTCTGAACCAATAGGCTGTTCCCAGAGTGCTGTATCAAGGTACCTCAGTGGGAAGTCTGTGGGAAGGAAAAAGTGTGGCAGAAAACGCTGCACAACGAGAAGAGGTGTCAGTCAGTGATGGTCTGGGGTGCCATGTCAGCTGCTGGTGTTGGTCCACTGTGTTTTATCAAGGCCAGGGTC